CACAGGTGACAATAAAGTGTCAGACTGCGCACATGTTGCTTTGTTTCATACCTGCTGTGTGCATGTATGCATGTGCGTATGCGTTTATGCATATATGCATGTAGGATGCAGGTTTGTTTACGGATGCGTAGATGCATGTAGACAGACGAGCACGTACTTGTCTACATATGCACATTGTATATACATATGCACATTTGTACGTATTTTTTGACTGCATCATATATATGTATGCCCAAAATTGTAAAAACACTTCTGACGACAACGGCGTGGGCGACAACCAGCAGTGAGAGTGCTGAGAGCGAGACCTGTGGCAGGCGCGTGAGGAAGCGCTGCTGCTCCTGGAGGTCCTTTTTTGCTTCCTCAGAACGGCTCAGTCAGGGCTTGCCGTTTAAGGTTTGATATTCCGATGGTTCGACGTCAAAGCTGCACCGAACAAATGCAGAGAGGCCGCTGTAATGCTGACCTGTTCGAGTTCTCGCTTGTGCCAGTAATCATCGAGCATTTCTCGATATTTCGCGGCCCACTTCTGATCGTTCGCTGCCTGAAGGGACAGTGGTCACGATTTTGCTTAGGTGATTCCCTTGGTGCTGCTGGCTGCTGATAAGGAGCAATAAGGTAATACTATGGCTATGGCAACACTGATCGTGACAATAACACTGAAACTGGTCACGGTAGTAAGATGACTGTGAAGATAAGGAAAGGAGGATGAAAGACTGGTCAGACATTCGTTACCATCGTGCTGCTGCTTACGGACCTCAACGACGACGGCGGCAACGACAAGGCAGCAGTCTTAGATGTAGCGGCAGAGGTCGCATTAGCAGTAGAGGCCGGAGAAGCAGCAGCAGCGGTAGCAGTAGCAACAGCAGTAACAGTAGCAGCATCATGAGCAATACCAGTAACCTCAGTAGTAGTAGTAGTCGTCGTCGTCGTCATCGTCGTCGTAGTGGTGGTAGTAGTAGTAGTAGTAGTTGTAGTAGTAGTAGTAGTAGTAATTGCTGCTGCTGATGTTGTTGTTGTGGTTGTTGCTACTACTACTCCTGCTGCTGCTACTACTACTCCCACTACTACCGGCCCCGCCCCCCCCCCCCGACCTGCCGGCTGAAACCATCATGTTCATCGCTTGCGCTAAACCTGGTAAAGTCGACAAATACATAGTCGAGGCAACAAGCAGCTGTAATACATTACGAAAGTACTGCAACTACCGAGTAACATGCACGTGCGCGCAGGCGAGTCGTCATGACCCCCATCCACCCTTCCAACATCCGAAGCTCGAGTTTGCAAAGTCGACAAGTGGATTTTGAGACAGCAAGAAGTGGTAGGACATTACGAACGTACGCAGATAACAAGTAAAATGGATGTGCTCCTAAGATTGCTTTCGAGCATGTGTCGTCGGGAGGGAGGGGTGCCCACTACTACTACTACTACCACCACCACCACCACCACCACTGCTACTACTACCACCACTACTTTACTGCTACTCCTGCTGCTACTGCTACTGCTACTGCTACTACTACTACTACTACTACGACTACTACGACTACTACTACTACTACTACTACTACTACTACTACTACTACTACTACTACTACTACTACTACTACTACCTACTACTACTATTACTTACTCCTGCTATTACTACCACAACAACGACGACAACAACAACCCCCATCCCCCCACACCCCCGACCTTCCGGTATCCGAAGTCGTCATTACCCCCGCCCCCAACCCCTACCCAACAACAGTACTGTGGCAGAGCATCGTCACAGCAGTACTGTAGCAGCCTTGCTGTGCAGCCGCAGCAGCGACGTACCACCAGTGAGCTATCGTGAGTAAAGCTATAATGTGTCCAAGTCTTGCGCAAGAACTCGCAACAGCAGTAGTTCTGATGAGAGTGAGCGACGGTACTGACGTGCGTCTTCACGCTCGAAACGAAACCCAAATACTCCTCCCCGATGCCTCCGCTGCAGCCAGCTTCATTTTCAGTGTCAAGTAAGTGTTGGTCTGCAGGTCGGTCTCCCTCTGTTGCACATCCTGCTGTTGATCCGTGAGTCGCTTCCTGACAAGACTAGGCCGTGGATAAAGGCAGAATTGGATCTAAAACGTGGGTGAGCGCACTTGCTTACTGGACACTCTACGTTTTGGAACCATGAAAAACAAAAAGAACTCCGCACTTTGCAAAAGGGGTGGACATACCCAGCTTGAGCACCAAACTTCATGGAACAACCTACGCCTGTCAGGGAGCTGCTCACTGCGCTTGCGGTGGGCCTGAACTCATCTTTGTCGATGGACTCAAGCTCGAGGAGCTTGGCTTCTGCTGCTTCTTTGGCTGCAGTGGCATCTGCTATGCGGCGACGAGCCCCTGGGAAGTACTGGGAAGCACAGGGAGCATCAAGTGAATCACTCCTCCCAAAAAGCGTTCGACAGGGCTATGCTTGCAGCTCTGCTTCGGATGCGTCTGGGCTCGTACTTCGTGAGGTCTCTGAAATAGCGGTTCCACCATGCGATTGCATATCCTGGGTGATGCTCTCTACTAGGAGCTACATGCCCAGCTGCAGCGAAGTCTTCCGAGGGGCGCTGCGTCTCTCTCTTGGCGAGCATGCCGGGTGTACCGTCGGGATCGTCGAGAATGGACGTCGCCGCGCCAAGAGCGGCCTGAAGCGTGCGATGTGTGTATGTGTGTTTGTGTGCTCCACTGTGTCGGGCCCACTCCCTCCATCCAGCTCTTGCAACAACAACGATCACATCTTGAACAAAAACGAACGAGGGAGAGGAAAAAGGAAAACCTCGAGACAGACAAGAGATAACATAGATAATTCACGAGGCAAATGACACATAACGATGCTCTACACATGCAAGTGTGCTGTCACGCAAATGCATGATCGAGCATAAAAATATTCTACGAATGTAGTCTGGAAAGTATACAGTTACTTGGCGGACTGCCTGGCTGATCGGCACTAGTCCTAATGATGCCGGTTACAGCGATGGCGATGAGGCGGAGGAGCAAGAAACCCAAAATGATGGTGAGGAGGTGATAGACGAGGAGTAAGAGGAGGAGGAGGAAGCATAAAAACAAGAGAATGGATGGCAGGAGAGCCCCGCACGCGGGCTTGCTTCCGCCTTGGCCAAGGTGGAGGTCTTGTGCGCCTCACGCTGCAGAAGCCTGTCATCCGCATGCAACAGAAACAAGGATTCTTTTGGGGGTGTGTCGTGTTTCTCTTCTGGTCCGGCAGGCACAAATTTCCTTGAAGGTCCAAACCACAACCACTTGCCTCAGACCCCAGCTCTAAGATCCTGGAAACTCAAGCGGGGTCCTGAACTCGCTTTGGGCGGTGAAACTCTGATCTTAACCGTCTTGAACCTCCCTTCACCCTTCCGGCCTGCTTTCCTGCTTTAAGCGAAGCCTCAGAGCTCTGACTCTGGCGGGACGTCCGGCCTGGATGCCGCAGCGACCCTGAGAGCCCCAGCGGAGCCCTGTCGCAGGAGCTCCACGAAATGCTCGAACTGGGCTGGGTCAACCTGACGGCTCCAAAGCTTTCGGCCTTTAAGGAGCCGTCGGCTTTCGGCTGTGGGAGTCAGACAGAGACAGAGAGGGGTTCAGGGTGCACGAGGATGCAGCAGGCACAACGTAACTTAGCCTTGAATGCCAGGAACTCCAACCCGGCTGAGGATGAGGTGGCCAGGGTTTCGTGTCGAGTTGAGTTGCACACGGGGGCTTTGTGTTCAATAGGTTGAACTTCTTGGCTCGGGGTTTAGGCGGACCGTCCGGGGCGAGAATGGCTTTAGGGCGGTCACTAAGTTCAGTGCTAAAGCAAACTACATGTGCTCGGTGGTGGGCAACACTTGGGCAAGAGCTGCATTGATGTCGGACGGCACTGCTGAGCGTGCAACCTAAACTGCTTCTGTCCAAACACTCTGTTCAACAAGAGTTAACAGTTAACAAGACTTACATGCGGTTGCCACAGCCACCGTTGCTGGCAAATCGAGTCGATATTCTTTCAACTTTCTATTGTTGAGCTATGCTTCAACTTCATGTCTTCGGATGGGGACTGCGCCATGTTCCGAAAGAGGCTCCCGTTCCCACTGCAGCAAAGCTACATTCGATTCGACATCTCGCAGGGAGCATGCGTGCGTGTAAGGCTTCAGGTCACCTGCCAGTCCACCAAGGGGTCCCGACGACAGCGCCATGCGGAAGGGCTGTCGGCATTGACCGGGCGAAGGCTGTGACGTGCCAAGGCCAGAATGCTTTGCAACAACTCCGCACAATCTGGAGGTCCAAAGTTCTTGCAGCTCGCAAAAGCTTTGTGATAACATCCCTAAACCCACGCTTGGATGCACTTGGACTTCACTGGGCATTGGTCAGCTGCCAATGAACCAAACAGGCAGAAGTTCGTTCAAGCAGCAGGGGGCACGTTGGGGATGAACACAAGTCTTGGCTGAAAGTAAGCAACTTGAGGCCAGTGTCGGACTTCATGTTTTCCGGCAGTTCTGCTTGCAGAACACGCACTTAGGAAGATCACAAGCTTAAATACTAGCTGGGGCAATCACCGCAGTTGGTTGGAGAGGTCCTCCCTTGACACCGATGCGTCTTCAGCAGTCCGTAATCTTCTGCCAAGTCAATCGAGGATTGCCCTGTTCATTATCGCGAATTCATGGAGCCGAGCTCAGTATACAGCTCTTATAAGCGTGTAGAGGAAGCAAGGTCCATGATCATCCAAAGACCTTCTTCGGGGAACGCATGCCGTGCCCTTGCTAGAAGGGGTCTCCGAATTCAATCATGTATCCCGTTGACAGGTCGGGTTTAGCTGTGCACGCTGACCTCTGATTGTGATGAAGGATGGATCAATCACGTCTCCTGTTTCTGAAGCTACTGCATGTCCACTGACTTGTCGAAGCTGCCTTATACCCATCATGTTCTCAGATCAGTCTCCGAGAAACGAAACACATGCAGGGCTCAGACATCGCTGAAGAGTGGCTCTCGATCGCGATCTCCGCGAGGCGCCGTCAGAATGCAATAGCTTTCGGAGCCTCTTCCTTGCATGGCTCGAGACAACTGACTCGAACCGAGCGAGAAATGCCGACTGTCTTTGTTGCATTCTTTTCTGCTGACGTCCCACAACATTCGCGACTTGCTCACGCAACCCTTGCCGCGGAATTCCACATGACAAAAATTTTCGGACCTCAACCCTCCACCTGGCCCGGACCTCTTGGAGAAGTTTCCGCATCCTTCCAAACCTACATTCCGGTCTTGCACCATTACTGCCACTGGTAAAGCCTTTTTGATAAGGACCTGGATCAGTGACGTGCATGTGCTGGAAAGTCTCGGCAAGCTTTCTCCACGTCACGGTCTTCCACTTGTTCTCACCTCGTATGATGTGCTGCGTCGCTCGGGATTCAGAGCCAGCATCCCCCAACAGCCGGGTAGCTTTGGAGGTCTAAGCATATCTCGAAGGTGGTACCTGACAACATCAACTGCTTGGACACAGGCATCCAAAGCCGCTACCCTGCTGGGTCGCGGGCCTGGATAGCCAGTGATGAGGAACTTCTTGTCCTCACAAAGATCTCGTAATCAATCATGTACACTTTTCTCGAACACAATCGGCATTTCATGCGACGCGATAAGCCTGGAAACCACCATACAGACTGACTATATAGGTACATATGCGAGACAAAAGATTTTGCCAATCGTGGATCCGCACACAGAGACAGACCATACAGCAAATACACCACGAGAATCCCGCGTGCACCCAACGTGCATCCGGAGCGCGCAGGAAACCAGCACAAGACCGGAAACCACTCAGGAAACCACCGGGCAACCACCAAGACCGAGGCGGGATTCCCAGGAGCGACCAAGGCCCCAAAGTAGTGCTGGGATTCAGGACCAGGGCAGATGCGCTTCCCCTCGTGTACTGGCGGATTCAGAGACAAGACACACTTTTTGCCCAAATGGACTGGCAGGATTCAGGACCACGGCCGTGTACGACACTTTTGGGGGAATAGTACAACAGAGTCAACAGATAATATCATGTTACTCTGAGCTGTAGTAACACATCCGGGAATTTTATGTATATGTTGGCAGATGTAGACAGACGGATCGAGGGACAGACGGACGGACCGACAGACACAGACAGACAATGTTTTCAATGTAGTCCTTGGCGTAGTCAACAGATTGAGGTATCGGACATATATATATATATATATATATATATATAAAAAGTTAGACATGTACCCACATGCATATGCCTGTATGCAAAGTTCATATATACACATAATCATGTATGAACATCTTCTTGAATCATGGAATGATAAATCTCTCTGTTCATCTTTCCATCCATCTATCCTTCCCTACGGTACATGTACCTGGACCTATTCGCACGTGTACATATTGTACATAATATAGACATGTAAGGATACAAAGCCAGAACGTGTAATAATGGATCACCATCCAGCTGAGGGACTGATTTTCCAGACTCCGGACCCATGACCATGGACCCACCGCTCGTGGATCTGGGCGCTTCTGGAAATATGGCTCGATTTGGATCCTGGCGCTTTCTCACCAAAACTCGTGTTTCCGGCCTTGACTCCGTCAAACCATTCTGCACCCTCCGCACCCATGCCTCGTCGAGCAGGATCTGGAATTCTTCCGCGCAAGTCCGAGAGACCTTACAGGTAGCACATCTGCAGGTTGGACAAAGCCGACGCCAGGCACCAGTTGCGACACAGGCACGACCATCACCTGTGCGAAATACCTCACGCGCGACACCATACGGTGAGATTCTGGGCGTGCCAGCAAGAACATGAATACCAAGCCTGTCTGGATGATCTGCATCCTGGTCCATGGCGATGCGACGATCCCACGAAGAGCCTCGGACAAAAGCAAAGAGCAAAGCCCAAAGGGCCCAAGGTAGCTGGTGCGACTTCTTGTCGGCCACTCCTCGTAAAAGGAGCAACAGTGGCATGTCGAGTCATGCGTAGCTTGAATACGGTATCGAGGCCTGTCAACTGGTCTTACACCCCGGGAATTGCGACAAACACGAAGCTCAGGTTCGGCCTGCCACGAAAAAGCGCTTTCGCATCCGCCCCTGGCAAGGCTTATCTAAGCACTGCACGAGAAGAAATCATGGTGCCAATCGCTCTTGTAAAAACCCAACCATGACAGTTTCGTCATTGGTGTACAAAGTCGCACTCTTGCATGACATGTGCGACGCATGCAGGCACATGTGGAATGTGGACGTTGGCCATCGCTGGGTTTCGCAGAAGCCCACATCTGCAACCGTGGGACACCAGGAAGCTTACCAAATACCTAGTATCAATATCGCTAGGCCACTACGCGTCTTGATATGTACTGATTATTCTTACTGATATACGACCACTGAAAACTAAAACAGTCAATCCAAGAGAAGCATAGCAGCACGAAGACTTCAATAACTATGCCCAGATGCCGGTGGAAAGTCAGGGCTGAAAGGACCCTTGAAAGAAATTTGAAACAAGAGTGCCCAGCGGA